ACGTGCTGCGGCGCGCTGTGGAGTAGAGGAGCACGGCTGCTGGCAGACCCACCGCTGAGATGGATGAAGTGAGGGGAGGACGGAAAGAGGTGACTGAAGGGGAAGAAGTGCCGCGTGCCCGTGGAGTAGCAGCAGCAGTGCCATTGCCAGAAGAAGCAGCAGCAGCAGTAGAGGCAGCCTGAGTGCGAGCTCCAGTCACACTAGCTGCAGCAGGTATGGGAGCGGTAGAGGAGGGAACATGGGCGAACGGCGTAACGAGATGCAGCAGCAACAGGTGCAGGGCGTCCATGTGCATGTTGCGCTGGGAGAGCACAAACGCCGCCGCCACCACAAAGTCACTCGCCACCGCACTACTCACAGTTACACTGCACAGTGTCACACTGCTTTGCGTCACACTGTCCAGTATGGCATCGTCGATCGGCTCATTGTGATAGCCACTCTCTTCCAACAAGCCTCGTTTCTCCTTGGCATTCTTGCCAGCCAAATTCCTGGATCCCCTCTTCTTCTCAGTCCACTGCACCTCCTGCGCAACTCGTGCCCTCTCCTTGGCTGCGCCCCCAGTCCATCACCACACTCTCCCGTGGGTCCAGCCTCCCCGAGGAGAACGTGCGGGCCGCCAGGCAGAAGGCGGTGGTGCCCAGGACGTGCATGGGGGCCACGCCAGGGGGCAGATTCAGCAGCAGCTGGGCGCAGTTCATGTGGCACAGCAGGGCGATCCAGTACGCCATGTCGCTAAGAAAGGTGTAGTGATCCCGACAGTAGTGGCAGCGCCAACAGGAGGGAGGGGATAAAATGTGGAGCATGCTCTCGAGCCACATTAGCTTGCGGCGAATGTGGGCGGCATCCACTCACGTGGCGAGGGACGGCTGGGAAGCCCAGTGGGAGAGGAGGGCGGGCAGGGCGGAGAGAGGGGGGTGGAGGGAGGACTGGAAGGGGAGGTCGGCCATGGGGAAGCAGAAGGGCGAGGGCTCCCCGCGGATGAGGTCAGCAAGCTAACCCGCCAACTCCTGGTGCCGCTCCGCCAACTCTTTATCCAGCTGGCCCAGCCCTGACCCCATGCCACAGTTGTGGAAGGCCAAATGGGGGAAGCTGCGCAGGTGGGAGTACGGGGAAAAGAGGGGGGCGGAGGATGAGGGTGTGCGGCGATGGTTGCATGGATGAGTGCTGTGGATAAGGAGGATGAGATGGAGCAATTCCTTGTTCCCCCTCACCCAAGTTCCACTTCACTAAGCTCCACTTCGATCCATATCCTATCATTTCTTCAACAACATTCGTAGAATCACAAATCTCCCCAACCACACAAGCAATTCCACTTCACCCACTTACCGTGCTTTCAGCATGTGTGCTGCGTGTAAGACGCCCTCGCGGCCGCGCGGCCACTGCCCGACGACATCGTCCCACGGCCCGTAGAAGGTGCCCTCGATCTGGGTGTCCTCGATCTTCGCTAGTAGTAGCAGGTTCAAGAAGCTGTACCGCCTGCCGGGAGGGCACGGGAGGGTGGTGAAGATGGGCAGAAACGGTGCAAAGACGTGTGCTGGTTTGTGATGGAAAAGAACGAAAGCAATATGGAGGAAATTGCTCCATCACCTTACGTTCAACCTCACCTCAGAAGCATTGCTCTCCGGGCATCTGCTGAAGACTGTGCCATGGCAGCAGAAGCTGGTGACAAGTAACAGCCCGCGCCTACAAGCAGAAGGCCAAGGTTGGAGAACTACAAAAGCTTTGGACTGCCTAGGCAGCTGGACGAGATACGATGTATAGAGGAACAAGGCTTACGTTCACATAAAATTGTCTCGGGCGGGGGTTAAAAACTCGCCAAATCCCAGGCTATGCACTATTAGCCTCCGTGTTACATATTCTGGACGGTAGGTACAGTCCCAAGGCTTTGAGTTGCACAGACATGCACAAATGCGTAAAAATTCTGTTTGTTCCTCAGAACACACCAGCCTACACCCTCACCACCCGGCTCGTTGATTCGTGAGAAATCTGATCTCATGTTGGCCCGACTGAAAGGTTACATAGAAAAAAACTCAGGGTTGATTGTCGTTTGTACAACTGACATTGCTGGGCAATGGACTCGTTCGACGAAACAGTCACATGTGAACAAAACAGTCTTACGCATTTCCCAGGGACGACAACGAGAGAGCAGTGGCAAACAGATCTAAGCAGCCTTGGCGTTGGTATCAAGTGACCAGGGCCTCCGGTTTTGCCTCGGACTCTGGTTCGGATGTTGTGAGAGCTGACCTATATTCACACGGCCTTGGTGGACCAGCCCGGGAAGGCATAAACTTTAGGTACAATACGAATAGGAAATACCCGACTTCTTACTTTGTTTTTTAATTTGTGCAATTTTGCATGACTTCAAAGTTTGTGACCCGTCGCGTGAGTCCCATGCTCCACCCGACAGCCCCAAGCCGAGCGGTGATGCGCAAACACAACCCACATATGATTTTGGTCCATCCGAACAGAAATTCAAAGAGCTACATCTTGGTACCTTCAATTTTTTTTTCCTTATGGAACTTTTAGTAAGCGTGTGTGCTTATTGAGTTAATTCGATTACAAGCGGAGGTGATTACAAGCGGTTCCATTGTAAGCACATATGCGCTTATATCCAGGTGTATTCGGTAAGCATATTGTTTTGTAAAGATAGTGCCAATGCAACTGTAGCACATGACTTTTGCAATCTGAGGTCTCTGTCTGGCAGCAACACATCGATGTGCTGTGACTGGCCCATCCAAATTCGAAATGGATGAGGTTGACAGGCCTCGCGAGCGATATAGACTCCTCTAGAAGTGATGGTTTGGATGTCTGATTGGCCGTTGATTCGCAGCGAAAGCCGGGCCAAGCGTACCCAACCGTTTACATGGTAATGAGAGCCCAAGTAACACCTCACTCAACCACGATTAGAAGTATGCTTAGGACACAACCCTACCACATTCGTCCTAGTAGCAGGTTTCTCTTGTCAATCTTGCGCAGCTATCTCGTGTAGCTACTATGCCCGCTGCTCTAATACAATCTGCACAGCATAGCTACATCTCCGAGACGTAGCGTATAGTATTAGCGGAGGAGCCGCAGCGTTCACGTCCTCGCCTCAAGCCCCAGCCCCATTCCCGCACCCGGATAACGCCAGTGTCGACTCGGAGGCTGCCTGGCTGGTGCTGGAAGCCTTGATCCCATGCGAAGGTAGGACCAGCATCCTCGTAGGGTTGAGCACGACCGGCAAGCTGGCCTCGTCGAACAGCGGGACGGCCCTACGGCTGCCGCCACATGGGTGATGCTCAAAACCGTGGCTTCAAGAAGTGGCCTCGCAGTGGCGAAAGGACAAACCACCAACCTTACGACAGCGATCTTCACTTGTCTGGCCAAGGACGAGTACGACCGGCAGCAACTGCAGGTGGTGCAGAAGCAGTAGCCGCAGCTGGAGCAGCGGGAACGGCAGCAGGGACAGCAACATATGGAGGCCCCCTCGTACATCACACCAGGCGTCCCAGCAGCATCACCACCACTTGCACCCCCCCGGTCAACCCTCAGCACTGAACAAAAAGCCAGAATAGAACAGAATAGACACAAAGCCAAGTGGAGGCTGGCAGAAACTCGAATGAAACGGCGGTTCAGAGGAAGTCGGAATTGTAGTGGCTGCAGCAGTCGAGGCAGCTGAAGCACTTGCGAGAGGTACAGTGGAAGCATACCCAGAAACGGGAAGCAGAGCAGTGGTATCGACCGGAGATGGCAAGGAGGGCCCGTGTCAATCAGGAAAAAAAGCAGTTTGAGGAGTGGTTTTGCTGATGACAAAACCATTGAAGCGTTGGACAAGGTAGTGGAAGCTATTGAGATTGAAAGGGGGTTGCGATCAGTGGGGGGTTCCGCCGTGGATGGACAACAGCAGCTGCAGCAGCAGCTTCTCTATATCAAAAGCAACATCAGCAACACAAACGTCAGCCGCAACACAAATAGGAGCAGCAGCAACAGCAGCATCAACAGCGCCAGGGAGACGAAATCTTGGAGGCATCAGCACCACCATATGAATCCTTCAGCAACTACAACTACAACAACATCTGCATCAGCACTCACTCCGTACAGCAATTGTAAGAAATAGAGCTGAATATGATTAGGTAAGGAGCCCAAGGCTCTATAAGTACATGATAAGGTGAGAAAGAATGGATGAACGGGGGAATCGGAGGGAATCCCCATTGGGATCTCCGGAATCTCCAATTGGGTAATAAGAGATTGGGGGGATCACAATTGGGTGAGGTTGGGATTTTGTGAGTACATCCTAACCCACCGGAACATTCCTAACCTAAACTAGGATATAAAAATACACATAAAAGTGGGACTGCAATCTATTTCTAACCCACCCCCATAGACTACAAACCCGGTCAGGGAGCCATAGCCCCATGGAACGGAGAAGGCGACAGCGGTCAGCCTTGCCGAGAGCCTTGGTAAAGAGGTCAGCGAGTTGCAATCTGAGGTGATGTACCGTACCGTCAGCTGGTCACTCTGAACAAGCTCTCAGATGAAGAAATGACGAAGATCGATGTGCTTGGAGCGAGAGTGGAACACAGGATCCTTGGTGAGGTGAATGGCCCTCTGGTTGTCATGGTGGAATCGGCTCGCGAATGTCCCGCCAACAAGTCCTTGCTGGAATTGAGCCAATCAGGGCCGAGTATACTAAGCGGAAAATAGCGTGCCTGACTTGCGAGGCGCTTGGGAGGGTTGCGAGAAGGATGGCACGCCATTTCGATACAAAAAAAATCCCATTTCGCTCTTTCTTTTCCAGCAGTGTAATGCACTTACAATAAACCCCTCCCCATGAAAAGAAGGTGCGCGTATAATGAAAGAATGGATATAAGCACATTTGCAGCATATAAGCCCAATGGGCTTAATAAGTGGCTGCACTTATATCCAAGTGTATACGGTAGTAAACATGAGGGGCTATACATAAACATTCACTATAGGGATATGCATGATAGGATGCATTGGGACACGGGCAATGAGATGCGAGACAAGATTGGCAGTGCTGGAAGTCCGTGAAACATATGCCTTGAATTAGTGTTCGGAATTTTCGTAGGACCTTGTTCTGAAATACGCAGTGAGAGAGAGAGAGAGAGAGAGAGAGAGAGAGAGAGAGAGAGAGAGAGAGAGAGAGAGAGAGAGAGAGAGAGAGAGAGAGAGGGAGAGAGAGAGAGAGGGAGAGAGAGAGAGAGAGAGAGAGAGAGATAGACACACACACATAGAGAGAGGGAGAGGGAGAGAGAGAGAGAGAGAGAGAGAGAGAGAGAGAGAGAGAGAGGGAGAGAGAGAGAGAGGGAGATAGAAAGAGAGAGAAAGAAGGAGAGAGAGAGAGAGAGAGAGAGAGCGAGAGAGAGAGAGATAGAGAGAGAGAGAAAGGAGGGAGAGAGAGAGAGAAAGAGAGAGAGAGAGAGAGGGAGAGAGAGAGAGAGAGCGAGAGTGAGAGAGAGAGAGAGAGGGAGAGAGAGAGAGAGAGAGAGAGAGAGAGAGAGAGAGAGAGAGAGAGAGAGAGAGAGAGAGAGAGAGAGAGAGAGAGAGAGAGAGAGAGGTTGCCTGTGCTGTGGCGGATTTTCTCGCCGTGTACTAACCCTAAATCCATGTTGGCACTGCTCGAGCTCATTGCTCGCGATTCTGCGGAAGGGTCCTGCACTGACTCTGGCGCGGATTTTGGCGGCATTGTTCTATGGCCCGTCGTCGGTAACCACTGCAAAACGCGCGTGTCTGCGACGGTGCTATCTGACAGTCTTTCAAAACAGTCGCGGAAATCAAAGGTTGGGCTAGAGGTCATGTGTTGGGCTTTTGGTGGGGGGGAGTGGCGTGGGGGAAAAGTTGAAGTCCTGGAGTTCGTGTGCCTTGGTCACTCGGTCCGTGAGGTTCTGTGTATCGTGCGTTCGCTGCCTTCGGTGTAGTGGCACTGGCCTGGGTTTGCACTTCAAAAGTCCCAAAATGTATGCACGCATGTTTCAAGTTTCTTTCCGCCTGAATGCCTGGTGTATCGGGGGTAGGGGCGGAAACGACGGGGGGTGGTGCACGCATGTGAACAGTCTCCCGTCGTTTTGGTGTGCGACTTCGTTTTTTTGTCTCGCCCTGGGTGTTATGAATTAATCAGAGTGTAAGGAAATTCCCTTTTCCTTACTGGGCTCGACTGCAGCACGTACGTCCTCGACTCTCGGAAGTCCAGGCCCGGCCAACTTCTTCGGTCCCGAACTTCTTCGGGAACCCAAACCTAGACGCGCGGAGCTTCCATAGCTTTCGCCAACCGGACCGCCCAACCTAATCGCAAGGTTCTCGGCTAGCTCTGTTCGTGCCTATAAATGCCTAGGCCCTCATTTCTATCGACAATCTTGAATGACGACTCCTTTATTACACTACCTGTTATTACTCTGATCAATTCCTAACAGTTGGCATCTGAGCTCCGTTCCTTCCCGCTTAGTCTTCTGTAGAGTAGTCCGAATATATCGGGAGAGGACCCAACAGAATATAGGGTTGGCTTGCGGTTGGTGGGTGATCTTGTTAAAGCTCCTCCAACTAGAAGCGTGTTCACCCTCAGATCTGTCAGGTAAAATTTCCAGCATGTCTATCACTCCGGAAACCTCTGCCCGTCGTAGTGTTAGGAACGTGACTCAGGAGGAGTTTGACGAGTTGCAAGCCAGGGCGGCTACAATGACGACACTGCAGGCCCAGCTTCAACAACTCACCGATAAGTTCAAGTCGCTAGGAAGCAAAGTGCAGACGCTTCGCAACGAAAACTCGTCGCTTCGCCAGACGCGGGGTGAAACGCGTCAAGGGCGGCCTGTTACCCGAGACGAAGATGCTGCGACCAAAGCGAGGGCGTAGACGACACCTGAAGCAGTTGAAGAAATCCACAGTGAGCCGCGGGCGGCCATTAAAATCAAACCTCCGATGTTACCGTCATTCAACCCGACCGACACAACAACTACAGTAGGCAGTTGGTTGTTCGCCATGGAAATCTTCTTCACAGCGGCAAGTATTAATGACAACACGTTATGTGTCAACTTGGTTGTGTCGCTGCAGAGGGGACCGGCACACGATTGGTGGCACATGCATCTGGACGAAGGAGGAGCCCCGGCAGGGAATCAACGGGCGGTAGATGGGGAGCACGGTTCATCAACGACTCAGGCAGAACCGATCTTTCGGTCGGCCACGATCCATACGTTGGAAGCATGGGGCGAAGCATTGAAGAGCCGATTCGAGCACATATCCATGCGCGAAAACGCTCGCACAATGCTTCGGACGTGAAGACAGTTGGGCTCTGTTCAAGAATACACGTCTTCGTTCTTGACGCTTTGCGATCAAATTGGAGGGCTTAGCGAAGACGAGAATATCGATCGCTATGTGGGTGGTCTCAAGTCAGAGATTCAGTAAGAGATCGTCCTGCGACCCCCGGCAACATTCAACAAAATTGTACGAATCGCGGATGCGCTTGACGCAAGGCGTGGACTCGCGAGGGCAGGTTTCCGGGAGGGAAATCGCTTTTGAGGCCAGCCCCAATACACATCAATCAACGGCGTGGACGTGTTTGCAGCCCGGGTATTTTTCGGATGCTGTTTCCACAGCAACCAGCTGGGCCACATGATGAGGGACTGCCCACAGCTAAAGAAGAACTTAGCTAATGACGGGAAGCAGTCAGGAAATGGAGATGGGCCACCTACTAACTTGACTGCGTTGCCCAAACGCCATCGTTTCCACGACAAGGAGTAACTCCTTGTCGTGGACAGGATAATTTCGCTCGGCCGGGCTCAGGATTCGTGACTCGTAGGTGATTGGTTGTAGGCCTTTGCCAAAGTCTTGTAACAGTACTGCGCCAACGGCCAGATCGCTAGCGTCGGTGATGAGCTCGAATGGATGGTGAGTATCTGTAATCTGAAGAACCGGCGGTGTAGTCGGGAAAAGTTTGAGCTTTTCGAACGCAGCCAGCTGCTCTCCCCCCCACTAAAAAAACGTGCCTTTCTTCAAGAGATCCGTGAGAGGGGAAGTTACCCCTGTCATGTTCGGAATGAAACGGCCATGTCATTAACAAACCCCAGAAAACTCTGAAGTTCACGTAGATTAGCCGGCGGCTTCCGGTCTCGGATTGTCGCGATTTTCTTGGGGTCGATTTTAACACCGTCGATGGAAATCACGTGACCCAAGAACTCCAGTTCGTGTTTTAAAAACTCGCACTTAGAGCCCTTGGTGATGAGTCGATTCTGCTGCAGGCGAGAGAAAACGGCTTCCAAATCCTTTAAATGCTGCTCCCGGGTTGTGCTGTAGACTAGGATGTCATCGAGGTACATGATGACGCACTTATCTAGTAGCGGCCGAAAAATCTCGTTCATGGTCAACAGGAATGTTGAAGGCGCGTTTGTTAACTCGAATGGCAAAACCATGTACTCATAACTCCCGTATCGGGTCTAAAATGCCATCTTGTAGCAGTCAGCTTCATGCACGCGAAGTTGGTGGTAACCGCCTCGCAGGTCAATCTCCGAGAAAAATCTGGCCCTGCGAAGCTGGTCGATGAGGTCGTCGGCACATGGGATTGGGTAGCGAGACTTGATGGTAACCCAATTCAAGGCGCGGTAGTTGATACACATATGCAAACCGCCATTTTTTTTTCGAGGTGAACAGGACCGGAGCTGCAAATGGTGATGTGCTGGGGCGGACAAAACCTTTCTCGAGAAGGTAGTCCAACTGGTGTCGAAATTCATCTAACTCGGGCTGAGTCAGCCCCCGTTGATTGATGTGTATTGGGGCTGGCCTCGAAAGCGATTTCCCTCCCGGAAACCCGCCCTCGCGAGTCCACGCCTTGTGTCCAGCACATCCGTGATTCGGACAATTTTATTGAATGTTGCCGGGGGTCGCAGGACGATCTCTTGCTGAATCTCTGACTTGAGACCACCCACGTAGCGATCGATCTTCTTGTCTTCGCTAAGCGCTCCAATTTGATCGCATAGCGTCAAGAATGAAGCCGTGTATTCTTGGACAGAGCCCAACTGTCTCCACGTCCGAAGCGTTGTGCGAGCGTTTTCGCGCATGGATATGTGCTCGAATCGGCTCTTCAATGCTTCGCCCCACGCTTTCCACGTGCGGATCGTGGCCGACCCAAAGATCGGTTCCGCTTGAGCCGTTGATGAACCGTGCTCCCCATCTACTGCCCATTGATTCCCTGCCAGGGCTCCTTCCTCGCCTAGATGCATGCGCCACCAGTCGAGTGCCGGTCCCCTCTGCAGCGACACAACCAAGTTGACACATAACGTGTTGTCATTAATACTTGCCGCTTGGAAGAAGATTTCCATGGCAAACAGCCAACCACTCAATGTTGTGAGAGTACGATACCGTTACACCAATTTCCCCTTTCCATACTTCATATCTATTTCATCCCTTAAAGCCAATAGCCTCACGTGGCTATACGCAAGGTGATTCTATTTCTAGAAGGGTCTATTCCCTTTAGATTGTACTGATTGATAGTGCAACATTGAGCAAACCTCATTCGATCCTGTGACAATTGTAGTTGTTCTGTCGGTCGGGTTGAACGGTGGTGGCATCGAGGTTTGATTTTTATAGCCGCCCGTGGCTCACTGTGGACTTCTTCAACTGCTTTAGGTGTCGCCGACGCCCTCGCTTCACTCGCAGCATCTTCGTCTCGGGCAACAGGCCGCCCCTGATGTGTTTCACCCCGCGTCTGGCGAAGCGACGAGTTTTCGTTGCGCAGCGTCTGCACTTCGCTTCCCAGCGACTCGAGCTTATTGGCAAGATGTTGAAGCTGGGCCCGTCATTGTAGCCGCCCTGGCTTGCAACTCGTCAAACTTCTCCTGAGTTATGTTCCTAACACCATGATGGGCAGAGGTTTCCGGCGTGATACACATGCTGGAAATTTTACCTGACAGATCTGAGGGTGCACACGCCTCTAGTTGGAGGAGCTTTAACGAGCTCACCTACCAACCGCAAGCCAACCCTATATTCTGTTGGATCTTCTCTCGATATATATTCGGACTACTCTACTAAAGACTAAGTGGGCAGGAACGGAGCTCTGATACCAACTGTTATGAATTAATCAGACTAATAACAGGTAGTGTAATAAAGCAGTCATGATTCAAGATTGTCGATACAAATGAGGGCCTAGGCATTTATAGGCACGAACAGAGCTAGCCAAGAACCATGCCATCGGGTTGGGGCGGTCTGGTTTGCGAAAGCTACAGAAGCGCTGCGCGTCTAGGTTTGGGTTGGCGAAGTGGTTCAGAACTGAAGAAGTTGGCCGGGCCTGGACTTCCGAGAGTCGAGGGCGTACGCACTATAGTCGAGCCTAGTAAGGAAAAGGGAATTTCCTTACACTGGGGAACTGGGTTACAAATTGGCGGGGCTCAAGATTAATAAACTTGAAAATAAACTTCTGCAATTTGGGTCAACGGCTTTAGCTGTTAGGGCGTGTCCTAAGAGTACGTTCGAATGCGGTTGATTGAAGCATATATATTGTCGGATGGGTTGCGTATGTATCCACATTTGTTTAAGCATTTATTGAAACGAGAGTGAGTAAAACCCTGAAAATGCTTGAAGATAAGTCATCTAGCAGATGGATATAATTTAAAACAGGTAACCCAAAGAAGTCATATGACCACTTAGATTTGTAGAAATGCTTCAACGTACTATATGAAGTAGTTCTGTAATCTTGTATCGGGGTCACTTTATGTTACATTTTTAGTGCTCCTCCCTTGATAGGTCAGTAACAGTGCTAACCTGTAATTCGTTAGCTTTCTAGGGCAGAGGGAATCTACCCCTGCTAGGGTTTGTTTTTGCCCAATCCTTGTTTGTACAGTGCCGTATTTGCCCGGATATAGCACTACGTGGTCTTATTGTCAAACATATTGTGTATATATCTTATAGGCTAGGTAGGTGCGTACTCTTAGAGGGTACAACCCCTTGGACAAAACTACCTTGTTTGCATCATTCTATTCATTGATTCTAACCTTGATATGGTATCAAGCTAGATTAGGTCCCCCCCGCCCACCCGCGCTTCCGCCTTAGGCCTAGTCCTAGCCGCCCGTACCTAGCTTCCCATCGCTAGCTACCCGTTTCGAGCTGCCCGTTTTGAGCCGGCCGTAACTAGCCGCCCGTAGCTTCGCGCCCGCTGGCCCCGAG